GGATGCCTCCCCAGATAGAGCAGTGATGGCGAACCTGTGACACGCGTGTCAGAGGTGACACGCGAACTCATTTTTTTGGTTGATTTTTCCTTGTTAAATGGCATTTAAATATATAAAGTAAATATCAAAAATATAAGTCTTTGTTTTACTATGGTTGCAAATATCAAAAAATGTCTGTATGTGACACGGCACCAGAGTTAAGTTAGGGTTTTTCAAAATGCTGACACGCCGAGCTCAAAAGGTTCGCCATCACTGAGAGAGAGGGGTGTGGTTTCTGGAGAGTCCTGTCAACCTTGGGTCTGACCACAGAGACAACACGTGAGAAATGTTCTAGGAAAAATAGGTAGAGGGGTCAGACTGGGCAGGAGGCTGGGCAAGGAGGTCTCACTAGAAGGCGATGTTTAAGCAAGGCTCCGAAGGAGAAGGAATGTAGGGGGCGGGGGGACAGCCAGTGCAAAGGCTCCGACCACAGCTGGAGTTGAAGGGATGGATCGAAGCCCTCGGCGCTCCCTTTGGAGCCCCATCTCCTTCAGAACCCGTATGTTTGATCTCTGGCTTAGTAGAGCGTGAACCCCCAGGACAGTGGCCACCCCTATCTTTTCACCACTGTGTCCCCAATGTCTCTCATGGGCCTGACACCCAATAGGAGTCCCAGAAAGGAAGAGAATGGGGCAGAAGCGGCATCTTCCGAGTGCTGTCCTCTCCCTCCTCCCCTCACTGTGCCTCCTCAGATTTGGCACCGGCTCCTAGGGATCCCAAAAAGCCCACGGTGCAGTCTGGGAAAGATGTGTGTGGAGGCAGTAGGTCTATTTTGAATTGAGAAAGTGGGGTATAGGGAATCAACTTTTTTTAGTGCCTACTGTCTGTACCCGGTATTGTACTAGTATACACCCTACAAAGACATGACACCATTCGGAAAGGAATCTGAGGCTCAGAGAGGTAGCACCGTGCCCATCCCCCTCCACCAGCCCCCCGCTTTCTGCCTGGAACCCAGTTGGCAACAAGAGGACCCGAGTTGTGGGCAGCCCTGAGCAGGCGCTGCTGGGCAGGCTGCACCGGCAGAGGCCAGCACGCCGGTCCAGGGTGCTTAAGCGGCGTGATCGGAGGGCACCCGCTCTGGGGACTCTGTCCCTCCGACGTGGGCTCGGTGTGTAGCTGGCTTGCCCTGCCGCCAGGTGCCGGGTGGAGGTGGGAGAGGCTTGGCCTTTGGGTAAATGGAGTGGGAGGAAATGGAGATTATGAACTGGGGCCTACTGGCCTGGATTTTTTTGTGGTGAAATACATAAAACATAATTTTCCCCTTTGAACTTTTTAAGCATGCAATTGAACAGCATTAAGTACATGGACAGTGTAGTGCAACCAGCACCATTTCAAAAATACAGCGGGTCTTTGAATAACATCTGTCGTTTTGTTCAGTATCGTTTTGTTACGTGATAGGAAAAAATCAAGTCTGGTCAGTGCCACTGCCTGCATGGATTTGCTCTGGCCACTCATGACCCTGAACTGGAATAAGCGGGTTGGAAAATAATCGTCTTGTTTTTATTAATCTTTTTTTTTTTAAATATATTTTATTGATTTTTTACAGAGAGGAAGGGAGAGGAATAGAGAGTTAGAAACATGGATGAGAGAAAAACATCGATCAGCTGCCTCCTGCACACCCCCTACTGGGGATGTGCCCACAACCAAGGTACACGCCCTTGACCGGAATCGAACCTGGGACCCTTGAGTCCATAGGCCGATGCTCTATCCACTGAGCCAAACCAGTTAGGGCTATTAATCTTTCTTAAATGTATGTATAGCTCACATTTATTTCAGTGTTTAATATTAGAAGTCTTTTGGGGTCTTTATTTAGAAATTTGGTGATATTTTTTTTACCAGAAATATGCCATAGGAACTTAATGCTTGTTTATATCAATTAGCCTGTGGTAAAATCAGTTTTCTTATACATTGTTTTGCTTAAAGCCTCAGATTCCAAGAACCTATAGATGAATGTAGAGTTAGTATCACTCTGAACAGAAACTCTGTATCCATTAAGCAATAACTCCCATCCCCCCTTCTCCCAGCCCTAATATATATCTTTTGTCTCTATGAATATGCCTATTTTAGGTATTGTATACAAGTGGACTCATTCAGTATTTGTCTTGTTGCGTCTGGCTTATTTTACTGAACATAATGTTTTCAAAGTTCATCCATACTGTAGCGTGTCAGAATTTCATTCCTTTTTTATGATTAAATTATGTTCCATTGCACAGAGAGACCACATTTTGTTTATCCATTTATCTGTCAGTTTTTCAAAACGTAAACATTGTATGTCATTCACTAATATTTTAAATCTGCATATATACTGTTGCAGGTTTCCAGTCTCTTCTAAAAGCTCGGAATGCCCGGCCACAGGAGGTCTGGGCTCCAGGCGCTCACAGGTTTCATCTGCCCAGCCACTTTGCTTCCCAAACTGGGGTGGCATCTGAGTAGTGGGTGCCACCACCTGTGGTTCCTTGGCTGGACAGCCCAGGTGCACAGCCGTGAGAGAAGGACACTGGCAGCTCAAGAGTCTGGGCCACCACCCTGGGCTTCTGAGCTGGGAGTGCCTGCCCGTGTGTCCTCCCAGCCCATGAGTCTCCTGCTCACTCAAGCCAGGACCAAGGGGGTCCACACTCCCGGAGAAAACCTGGTTGGAATGTTGCCTCTGGGGTGTGGCCCTGCAGAGAAGGGGTGGCTGGGCCTCATCCCCATGCTGAGTGCAGTGACTGCTCACCGAGGGCCAGATGTGGTACCTGTGGACCCTTCTAGCTACGTCCTCCTTCAGGAGGAGGAAGATGGTACCTCCAGGGTCAAACAAGTGGCTTGTTGGGGTGGTGCCAGGGTGTGGAGGGATGGGAGCTCAGTGGATCGGCCCGTGTGAGTGTCCATCCTTGCCGGGCGGAGGATTCGGACCCTCGGGTGTGGGGGCTTCTCCAGCAATGGGCCCTGCCCTGGTGGGGGGAGGGCAGCTCCCAGGACTAATCCTGGGCCATGTGAAGGAGGCATGGCCAGGGCTTGAGTACCTCCTTCCTAGGAATAGAGGGAGAAGGAGGATGGCTTTGAGCCAGGCCTGAAGGCTGACTGACATTTACTGAGCTGGAAGCAACATGGCAGGCAGGCAGCAGTGCCCAAAGCAAAGGTCTGGAAATGTAGGTCCAGTGGTGGCCAGTAGAGTGGGACCTGGGCTGGGGAGAGACTGCAGGGGCCATGGGACGGAGAACACACTGGGCAGGCTGTGGGGAGCAGGGAGGTTATTGAACAGGGCAGTGATGATGAGGCCAGTGCTGGGAAACAGTGGGGTGGGGCCATATGATAGAGGGGAGCTGGGGTGCTGAAGAGGGAGGGCAGTGAAGGAGATGGGTGGGTGGGTGGTTGTGGTCTGGAGGTCGGAGGGTGCTCGGTGGTTGGGTGACTCACATCTGCCCCCAGGAGGGCCTGCACCTTAGTTGTAGTCCCTACTTTGTTTCCCAGCAGGGCCAGGGCCAGCATGCAGTAGATGCTCAGTAAATACTGCTGGTCTGGATTGGTGCTGGAGATAACTACCAGAAGAAAGCCAGGCCCATCTGTGATGGAGGAGAGGGGATGGGCCGCGAGGTCTCAGGGTAGCAGGACCCAAGGCCTGGGGGCTATGGAGTGTGGCTGAGGGAGGGGGTAGCAGTGGGGCAGCTTTGCGCAGACTGGAGCTGCCCTGTAGGAGGAAGGAGGGAGCGGTGGCTGCACAGAGGAGGCCAGGCAGCCTGGCCCAGGGACCTGCGGCAGCTGAGCGGGAGGAGTGCCACTGGGCCTAGGCCTGTCCCATCCCCCTCTGCCCAGGGACCCGCCTGCTTGACTGGCAGTCCGGCCCCGCCCCCTGGCAGCAGGGAGGCCAGTGATTGGTTGAGGCTCTAGAGCCACTCAGTCGCCATGGGGACGCTCTGGAGGCGCTGGTGCGCCCAGCACTGAAGACTAAATCTTCATAATCTGCCGGCTGGAAGGGTGGGGGTGGGGTCCTGCGCTGCGCGACCCTGGCCTTAGAGAGGGGGTGGCTTGGGATGCGGTCAGGGTTCCCTGTGGCCGCCCCCCTCTCCCCCCCTCCTCCCGTTCTGGGTGCGGGTGCAGAGTCGCACGGGCACCACAGAGAACCACATGGTACTCACCTGACACTGACCTGGGAGTTCGAGTTAGTACCACCGGCCTCTGCTGTCTCAGCAGATCAGCAGGAGGCTGGGCTGGGCGTGGGAGAGGGGCCTGGAGTCTACCTGAAAAGGTCTAGCCCACCAGTTCAAGTGTGTCCTCCGGGATGGGCAATTCTGTCTCTCCGCAGCAGGGGGCGCCCTCGACAGAGCTTTGTTGGGCTGTCACCTCATGAAAGCTGGGATGGCCCTCTGAGGTGCAGGGCATGCAGACCCTGTACCCTGCAGCACTGTCTCCGTGTCCAAGGTCACTGCACCATGGACAGAGGGCAGATCTGGGGGCCCCTGTGTCTGTGTGCCTAGGCGGCCAGGATTGCGCTGGGCCTGCTTGCAGGAGGGACCTGGGAGGTTACAATGGAAGGAAAAATTCAAGGGCCTGCTGTAAGGAGGAGATCCTGTGGGGAAAGGGTGTGAAGGGGCAAGGTTGTGGTGAGCTGGGGAAAGGTGGGGGGCACTGGCCAGACCCCAAGCAGCCTCTGGGGTGACCAAGGACCTCTGGTAGGCAGCAGACCAGTCAGACCTGAGGTCATAGCCACTCACTCCCAAGCCCTTGAAGCTGGGCCTCCCATGAGCCTGGATGTGGTGTTTAAAGTTCATGGCAGAGGGAGCCACCTCTGGCCCCACCTCTGGCCAGGTTAGCCTCTTGGAATATCTAAAGGGACAGCAGGGCTCACTTCCTGCCCAGGGATGCTTGGCACAGGGCAAGTCCTCCCTGTGGCTGTTGTGCCCATGGTACTCTGGGAGGAAAGGGTCTTACGGGATAGTAGGTACTGGGGTAAAGCCTCACACCCAGGCCTCTTGTTTCAGACGACTCCTCCTCCGAGAGTGGCAGCGGCAATGGCTCCTCCACCTTGAACCCATCCACTTCGAGCAGCACGCAGGGCGACCCTGCCTTCCCCGAGATGAATGGCAACGGCGCTGTGGCCCCCATGGACTTCACGGCCGCAGCTGAGGACCAACCCATCAACCTGTGTGATAAGCTCCCGCCAGGCACGTCCCTCGGCACGCCCTCCTACCCCTCGGACAGCTGTGGCACAGATGGACTGCGGAGCCGTGTCAAGTACGGGGTGAAGACCACCCCTGAGGTGTGTGGGGCTGTGGGCCCGCCTGAGCCTGGACACCCCAGGGTGTGCCAGGCTAAAGTGAAATTGTCTGTGCCCAGAGTTGATGCCGAGTCAGGGTGGTGGCCAGGGTGCCTTTCTGAGGAGGCTCTGGTAGGGGGGGACCACACTGTGACCCCCAGCAAGGCCCTCATTTCTCTGAGGCTGCGTCCCCGTCTTAGAGGAGTGGTGGGTGATGTGTCCCCTTCCACCCACAAGACAGAGTCTGCTTTGAATAACAGCACAAGTGCCACCTCCAGCAGATTCCCAAGGCCTCACGTTTCCGGCTACTCTGCAGGCCCCTCCCCGGTGTTACAGACGGTACGGGAAAGGGGCGAGGTCTTTGTGTGTGGCCAAGGGGTGTAGAGGCGGGAAGCTCAATAGGCCAGGCTGCAGGGTGGGCAGGGCAGGTGCTCCCACCATCTGGTACTCCCCCCGTACTTTTTTAAAAATTGATTTCAAAGAGGGAGGGAGAGAAACATCCTGCACGCCCCTAGTGGAGACTGAGCCCACAACCCGGGTATGTGCCCCAATTGGGAATTGAGAACCGTTACCTCCTGGTTCATGGAAGACACTCAACCACTGAGCCACACCAGTTGGGTTTCTCTTTTTTTTTTTTAAGATTTTTTATTTTTAGAGAGGAAGGGAGAGAGACATCGATGTGAGAGTGAGGCATTGATCTGCTGCCTCTTGCACACCCCTACTGGGGATTGAGCCCACAACCCGGGTATGTGCCCTGACTGGGAATTGAACTGGCCACCCCTGACAACACCCAACCAACCGAACCGCACCTGCCAGGATCCTGCCCCACTCGTGCTGTGTCTGACCTCTTTGACTGGGACTCCGGGAAAGGCATAGCTGCTGTCCCCGGTGAGCAAAGAGCTGGAGAGGGAGAGTTTGTCCCCAAGCCTCAGGCCACAGGTATGAGCCCAGGAAGTAAGATGACAGCAGGAGTGTCACCAACAGCTCGTATCTTCAGTTTCCTGCCTCCTCTGACCCTGCCAGAGGATTGGCTAAGGAGCAGTTTGGGACGTGACTTGCACAAGTCTTTTGACTCCATTGCAAGTCTGGCATGAGCCAGTGGCAGGCCAGAGGACCTGGGTGTTGCTGTCCCCTTTCAAGTCTATGTATGGATCAAGAGATGGGCACAAGGCCAGTGGTTCCGGGGAGGCCAAGCCTGTGGGATTGGTCACAGGAGGCCTGGTGGTGTCCATTTTCTTCATTTGTCAACAAGAGCTGTGACCCCTGCCAGACCACCCTGTGGCTACATCGCAGGGTCTGGCCTGTAGCTGTTTGTTTCCTGGGCCCAACGACCTGCTAGGTGCCCACCTCCTGGAGGGCAGGGACAGCGCTAGTCAGGATCCCAGTAAGTGAAGTCAGGACTCGCCAGAGATGCAAACTTCCTGAAAGGCAACGACAGTGTCCTCAGGTGGGCCCTGAGCTGCAGAGGGTGACACGGTGGGAAGCTGGGAGGAGAGGGGAGTGCGTTCCCGACGGGGGTGGTGCTGTATTCGGGTGAACGCCCCTCCCCGTGTGCGACACCTGGTTGCCTTCCCCTTTATCCTCTCAGCGGCTCTCGGCTCTCGGCTCTCGGTGTCTTCCTCGAAGAAAGGGGGCGGGTGGCAGACAGGAGGACCCCCGCCGGGAGCTCTGGGAATACACTTTGCCTAATGGACCTGTCGCCTTGGCTGGTTCCCTCTCCCAGCCCATCTGTTCCTCCTCCCCGGCAGACAGCACACGGCTGCTTTTGTGACAGCTCGGTTATCACCTCAGGGTTGCAGCCCCTTGGGGGTTGGGGAGAAAGCCCCAAAGCAGAACAGATCTGGCACAACCAGAAGAGGCTGGCTGTTGGTGGGAACCCTCTCTGTGTCTGCCTTTCCCTCACACGACGTGGCCGGTCGTGGTGTGGCCTCTTGCTGAGTAAACCACTAACACCCTCCACCCAGTGCCCCCCGGACGCCAGGCCTTGTGTGAACTGTTGTAGGCAGTCCTCCCTGCAGCTGCCAGGAGGGGGCAGTGTGGCTGTCCCCATTCCACAGGTGAAGGGGAGGGTGACTTGCTCAGGACCTTGCAGCTTTGGCTCATGAGGCAGGGGGTGTGTTGGTACCCAGTTCCTAAGCTCACCGAGGCCTGTCGGGGACCATGGAGGGCCTGCCTGACTGCCCCCTCCTCTCTCAGTCCCCCCCCTACAGCTCAGGGAGCTACGATTCCATCAAGACCGAGGTCAGTGGCTGCCCCGAGGACCTGACTGTGGGCCGAGCTCCCACAGCAGATGACGACGACGACGACCACGATGACCACGAGGACAATGACAAGATGAACGACTCCGAGGGCATGGACCCTGAGCGCCTCAAGGCCTTCAACGTGAGCACCGGGTCGGTCCGGCGGGCGGGGCCGCAGCCAGGGCCAGCCCTCCCCACCGCCTGTCTCTCCCACAGATGTTTGTGCGTCTCTTTGTGGACGAGAACCTGGACCGCATGGTGCCCATCTCCAAGCAGCCCAAGGAGAAGATCCAGGCCATCATCGAATCCTGCAGCCGGCAGTTCCCCGAGTTCCAAGAGCGGGCCCGCAAGCGCATTCGCACGTACCTCAAGTCCTGCCGGCGCATGAAGAAGAACGGCATGGAGATGGTGAGCCCGCCCAGCCCAGCCCCCCTCACCTCCAGCTAGCCTCCGGGATGGCTGGGCGTCCCCTTGGCCAGACACTTTACCCATCATCCTCCCAATGTCCCAGGAGCCGCACCATGATCCCCGTTTCACAGCGTGGGGAGCTGAGGTCCCTAAGAGGCCCCCTCCATAGATAACGGCCCTGAAGCCTGACCCGGCCCTCCACCAGCACCTCTAGGGCAGGGTCTCTGTGTGGGCCCAACACTGCCCTGTTCCCATTCTGCCTGCAGACCAGACCCACACCTCCCCACCTGACCTCGGCCATGGCCGAGAACATCCTGGCAGCTGCCTGTGAGAGCGAGACGAGAAAAGCAGCCAAAAGGATGCGCCTGGAGATCTACCAGTCCTCACAGGTACTGCTCGCTGCCGCCACTGTCAGGGGGTTGCTTCTGGGCGGGCGGACATCAGTCATTCCACAGACATTGGGGCCCCCAGTGCAGAAGGACCAGGCGGACCTACCAAGAAGGCAGCAGTGATCGAGTGGGATGGGGAGAGCTTGGGCACCCAGGCCCTGCAGACCCAGGAGGGCATCTGGGCTTCATCCCGAGGGCCCTGTGTGAGACGACCAGGGATGGAAACAGTCCTGCAGGACACAGCACTGTGTCTCAGAAACTCTTCATCCACCTTGTCCGGCTTGCTGCCCCTCTGGTTCCTCGGTACAGTGGGGCCTTGACTTATGAGTTTAATTCGTTCCGTGACGGAGCTCGTAACTCAAATTACTCCTTTGTCAAATCAAAAAGTGAACGAGTGAGACACATGATGCTGGGCTGATGTTGTGGTGTTCACTGTGACGTTCGCTGCGCCAACTAGCGGTGGGGTATCTGAAGCTGGCTCGTAACCCGAATTTTAGCTCGCAACTCAAAAAAATCGGCCAAGAGACGACTCGTATCTCGAAAAACTCGTTAGTCGGGACACTTGTAAGTCAAGGCCCCACTGTCTCTCCCTCCCCCTGCAGGACGAGCCCATAGCCCTGGACAAGCAGCACTCCCGGGACTCTGCAGCCATCACCCACTCCACCTACTCACTGCCAGCCTCCTCCTACTCCCAGGACCCCGTGTATGTCAATGGCGGCCTCAACTACAGTTACCGCGGTTACGGGGCCTTGGGCAGCAACCTGCAGCCCCCTGCCTCCCTGCAAACAGGAAATCACAGTAATGGTGAGTGAAGGAGGCTACGGCCTCGAGAAGGGGGAAAAGTAACTCCTTCATGGCTCAGGGACCCTTCCCATCTCATCATCTTAGCCAGTCCCTCAAGAGGAAAGCGAGGAAAACTTCAACTGATTCAAACAAAAACCCTCCCCCCTCCCCTCCCCTCTCCAAGGAGGTGTGCTTTGTTCATTGCACTGTGGGCCTCTCTGCCCCGCCCCCCTCATGGCCCTGTGAGCTGAGCACTGCGGTCCAGCCAGCCAAGGCCCTGCTCTTTATCGAGTGGAATCCTCTCCACACCTCCATTTTACCTCCCTGACCAAGGCTCAGTGAGATGGTGGAGCAGGACTTGGTGCAGGCCTGGCCCCATTCACTTGTAGCCTCAGCTCCGGACCTTACTTGTGAGGTGAAGGTCTTTACCCTCCGATGCAGGGCCCAGGCCTGGCCCCATCAGGTCCCCCGGGGCCGTGAGTCCCTAGGTGCTCCTCTATAACTCTTCCCGGGCCATTCTGGGGCCGCCTAGCCCTAGACCAGTGTTGGAGAAATATCCTTGAAAAGGCAGAAACCTCCCCATGGAGGTAGGTGCTCCTGAGTGGGACCTGGAGCGGAGAACTCGGGCCCATGCCCACTGAGGCCAGGTGGGGGTGTGGCAGGGAGATAGCAGGTCCCGCTGGGGGAGAACAGCCTGGGGTGATCTCTGTACTGATAGGTTTTAAGCAAAGGAGGCTGTAAATTGTACTCTGTCTGCCCCTGTGATATCTGAACAGGAGGGCAGAAGCAGTATGCATTGGGGGGCGGGGGGGAGGGGAGGCGGGCACCGGGCTGGGGATGACACCAAGTTGCTGCCTGAGGAATAGTTGGAGGAAGGTGCCAACCACAGGCCAGGGAACCCTCGATCTAGGTCTTGGCCAAAGAAGCCTGAGAATTCCTCTCAAACTCTTGGCTGCAGAAGGGCCCAGGGTGTTCCTAGTCAGTGATGGCGGGAACTGGCCCCTGCAGATCGCAGAGAGCCAGGCACCCTGCACTCACCTTGACCCCCCCAGGAAGTATGTGCAGGTTCCTGGAAGATTCCTGCCTGGGCTTAACTCCTCATCCCTTCCTAATGCCTCTTAACCTAAAAATAAGAGGCTGCCCGGCCCTAATCCCTGAGCCTGAGGGTGGAAGCTGTCCAGGTGGGCCGCTTTCCTTCCAGAAGAAGGGCCAGCTGACAGGTCCCAGGACAGGGAGGCTAGAACCCCTCATCCCTCCCAGGCAGCAGGCGATGGTGATGAGCCTCCACCTGGCACCACGAGTCATGGCCTGTCTCAGGGCTGCAGCTGTCGGGCTGCTCCTGCTCGTAAGAGCACTGGCCTGCTGACTCCCTGCCCTGCTCTCACCCGCAGGGGCCTCCCTGAGCCTCAGCCTCCTGTCTGTGAGCACCCTGGTTCCGTGGAGGCGGCTGGCCAGATCACTGAGACAGAGATCTGCTCATTTACCTCCTTGCCAGTGGGCACTGGGCTTGAGTCAGTTGGAAAGCAACCAGCAACAGCATGGCTGTAGGGCTCCCAGTCCCACTCCCTCCCAGTGCAGCCTCTAAATGGTTGCTCAGGCAGTTGGGCCGCTGGGTTGGGCAGCCATACAAGTGGCTCAGAGCTCCTTACTTTGCTTATTAGGTTGTCATCTGGAGATGCAAATCAGCTTAAACAGATGTGGGCTCTGCCTGCTCGCCTGGCAACCTGAGCGTCCTCCTGTAACCAGAGCCCGAGAGCAGATAGCTCCGATCAGATGGGCCGCAGGAAACGGACTTTCTCCTCTCTGGGCTGTAGCTAAAGCCCAGGAGAGATGAAGGACAGCCCTGAACATGGGTGAAGAGGACAAGACTTGGGGATGGAGGGAGGAAGGAGGAAGCCCAGGGCCAGCTCACCACCTGTGCAGGCGGTTCCATCCTCCCTCTGCCATCCCCAGGCATTGTCTGGAGGGACTGGGAGCTGCCCCAGAAGGAACCAAACAACCCCTGTCACTCTGAGTCCAGCCCCTGCCGCGTCCAGGAGACCCCAGAGGCACCCCTGCTCCCACCTGGCCTCTCATTTAGCCACCAACAGGGGAGTTGGCCGCTTGCTTGACTGCTGTTTCCAGCAAGTCACAACCCCACTCCTTCCTGGTTTCATTTTAACAGACTTAACTGTTCCCTTGACTCACAATTTCAAGGATATTCCTAGCAAGTCAGTTCCTAGGGCCCATGTTCTCAAGGGAGAAAATAACCTCATGTGACACACTGTCCCATCTTAGACTCCAACTTCCTTCCCCATTTGGAGTCTGCACCAGCTCCTTTTAGCAGCAGTCTAGTTTCCATCATTTCTCCCAAGATGTTACTTCTGGTCTAGACGTCTCCAATACAAGAGCTTGTCCATCTCTCTTTATAGCAGCATAAAAGCTGCCACTGTAAATGCAATAACGAGTGAAACCAATAACAAGTGAAACCAATAACGTGAACCTACGGGGTGGGGTGGGGGGTGGTGATCGAGAGCCTCACACACCGTGGAGATGACCTCTGCACAGGGCGGTGGGGAGGGAACGGGGCACTGGCCTAGTTGGGTCAGAGAAGCCTCCATAAGGAAGCCCCAGCTTCCAGATCCTCACTTCTTGGGTCTTTTCTTACCTAACACCTTAAAAGAATGCTTTTCCAATCCCAGGAGTGTCCGTGTCTCCCGAGAGCCCATTCAGAAAGCCTGGCACCTGTCTGAAAGCTCTTTCCCAGGGGCCTGTGCAGGCTGTGCGGTTCACGGGCCAGGCTCAGCCCCCAGCTGCCTCCTCATACTGCAGACAGAGAACCGAGGCTCAGGGAAGCTACTGTACAGCCTTGGCGTGGAAGGGCAGGCCGAGCCCAGGCTTGCCTGTTTTAAAGCCAGTGGCCCACCCTGTAGAGCTGCTTGGAAAAGGTGGAGAGGAAACAGGGCCAGTGGGCCCCCCAACATACACCCCGAGTATATTTCAGATGTCACACTCCCTCTTTCCTGCAAAGGGGAGGTGATTTCTCCAGACAGCACTTCTGGGTCCTGTCCTGACCATTCTAACCCTCACACATCCATCCCACACTCTCTCCTGTCCGGCAGCATTAACCTTCCCCTCACTCCGGCACAAAAGACCTCCTCAAAGTAAGGGAGATTCAGGGTCCCTGCTTCCTCTGGAGACAGGCTAACAGCCCCGCCCTCTCCTGCGGGCCGCACTCCCGGCCTGGGCCCACCTCTTTCCCACGGCCAAGCAGGGCAGCTGGCCTCGACTGCTTCTCTCCACTGGACAGAAGTCCCTTCCCGACCTGTGCACGTGTACACGCACACGCACACGCACAGGTGTTTGTCGTTCTGGTCTCCTATGGCTCCTCTCTGGCTCTGGACTGCACACTCGTCCCTCTCAGGGATCAGGCCCCTGCTTACCTGCAGCCTCTAACCCCCACCTCTGTTGACAGCCGCACCATTGGGGGAGGATCGCATACATACCTCATGCCCACCAGACACGCCAGCAGCCTTTCTTCTCGGGTAGCATCAGTTCCTGCCGAAGCTCTGCTCACCGCTTTGGGGAGCCAGGGAAGTTCCTTTCCTTGAGGCTTCCTCCTCACTTGGAGACAGAGCCAGGCTGTGTACCTGCTGGGGGAGCACCATCCACCTGACGGTCCTCAGAAAGCAGCAGAGGTGTGGTCAGTGCCAGAGAGCCTGTTCCCCACCTGACGCCACAGCCCGTGCCTTGTCACATGCACGCTGAATGCAGAACCATGTGCACACGTGATCTTGGTGAAACCTCTCAACCGCCAGGCCTCGGCTTCCTCCACCTGTCCCGTGGCGAGGACACGTTTCCTCCCTTGCAGGATCACCCTGCGGGTGAACAGAGAACCCCATGTCTCATCTGCTGGTCCCAGGCCCCATTCTAGGCACTAGAGGTACAACTATCAAGATAGACAAAGGCCTCAGGCCCCCAAGTGTCTGGTCCACAGCAGGCCCCCAGGACAACGAAAAGGATGGCAGCACCTCCCAGGTGCCCTGCAAGGTGTCCACTCCTTCTCACCCTCCCTCTCCCTCCCCACAGGGCCCACGGACCTCAGCATGAAAGGCGGGGCCTCCACCACCTCCACCACACCCACCCCCACGCCCTCCAGCAACAGCACCAGCAGGACCATGCCCACCGCCCAGCTCAGCCCTACGGAGATCAGTGCTGTGCGGCAGCTCATCGCTGGCTACCGAGAGTCTGCCGCCTTCCTGCTACGCTCGGCGGACGAACTGGAAAACCTCATTTTACAGCAGAACTGACCCAGCGGCACCTGGAGTGCACTACCCTCGGGAATGAGGCTGTCCCGCCCGACCCAGCTTCCTGCCTCACCAGTTGGTACATTTTGTTTTTTGCAAGAGGTGGGATCCGAGAGCTGTTTCTAGCCACACTCCAAGCACCTGAGACTTTGGGCACAAGGACACTTTTTTTTTGGAATCTCACCACACAGGTGCTCTGACCTGCTTGGAAGAGGCCAATGGGGCAGCTTTGGAAGGGCTGGGCTCCCCTGACAGGGCGCTGGGGCCACAGCTCTAGTTAGATCATCTTCGTGGACCCTGATGTTAGAATCCCACTCCCAGATAATTACCTTTCAAGTCTTAGGTGAGCAGAATTGCATATTTATTGAGAAAAACAAAGTGGACCCTTTCTTCCTCTCCCCTTAGTAATTTATTTTTTTGAAAATGGATTCTTTTGTGTTTGTACAGATTGCCAGTCTGTGTCTGTCTGATCAGAAGGATGTCTCCCTGTGCCCTAACATTCCATATCACTACACTGGCGCGGGCGGGGCGGCGGCGGGGCAGGTGCCAGGGGCTGTCCCTCTGAGTGCCCAGCACCACCAAGCAGGAGGACCTCACCCACACCCACTGCAAAGCAAAGACAAACACACACCCCCTCCCCCCATTTCACAGAAGCCCCAGCCATGGCCACCTGTATTCTACCTCACACTCCAGCGGGGGCTTTTTCCAGGATGTGCCCGAGCCTGCTCTGAATGGCTGTCTCCCAACTCCCCTACACGGGGTGTGCGCCTGGGGCGTAAGCCCGGCCCTCCTGGCTGCACGACGGGATGGAGACTGGGAGACGGAGGCCGGGTCAGCAGAGTCCCAGCCCTCACCCTGCCCAGGGAGTTAACACTCCCCGCACAGACCCAGGCCCTCAGGCCCTTGCTGGGAAGACCCTGTTTCCTCAGGGTGATCCTCTAGGTGTCAGGCAGCCACTGGCCAGGAGAGGTAGCTGGGCACCCCTGGACTGGCTTGGCTCCCGTCCCCGGCCCCCGTGGTGGAAATGAAGGGACCATCATCCACCGGAGTAGCCAATTGGGTTCTAAGACCAGCCCTTCTGGAGGGACCAGTCCTGGAAGAAACCTCTCATTCCTGGAGTGTGAAAGGGGCAACAAGGAAAGGCTGGCCTGGTTTCCCTCCTCCCGATAGGCACTTCCTCTTGCTCAGTGCAATACCTACCAGTGCTGCTAAACCAGGGATTCGCCCAGACCTCAGCAGGCCCCCGGGCCTCTCCATGCAACACTCCGTAGCCATGACCGCAGCCTCCGCTGCCGCCCCTGCCCAGAGCTGGCAGAAGCCCTCTGTTGCCTTTCCTCCCTCAGAGCAAAGAGGCCCCAGGGAGCCAGGGCCGAGTGGACCCTGGGACGGCCACTGAGAGCCACCTGACCCCAGAGTAGGTATCCCTTCTCAAACCAGCTTCTCCGCAGCCAGCTGCCTCCTGGCACTGTGGCAGACCCCCCTCAGGAGGGGCGGGGAGGGCACTCCAGTGTGGGTGTCCCACCCTGTGCTGACTCCCAGCCCCTAGAGGCTGGGGTGGTCTTTTATCTCTCAAGTGGCCTCCAACACCCCATCCCACCACACCACCTCTGCCTTGCATCTGACCCATCCCCAGGCCTCTGGTCGGGGCCAGGACACCCGAGACTCCCCCTTAGCACAGCACAAACTCCAGTGCCCACGGCCTCTCCCTCACCCAGCCATCCGCACAGCCATCCTCCACCTGCTCAGTACACTCCCTGATGTTTTAATTTGTGTAAATATTTATTTTTGTGTGTGAACAATATTACAAAGTAATCAGTAGATCTTTTGCAAAATGTTACCCCAGGCAATTTGTGAAATCTTAATGTTAAAAACTGGCAGAGACAATCGCCGCCTTAGAAGTCTTGGTATCAATTGCTTAACATGTCATTTCTCCTCCCAGAGGCAGTACCCAAGCCAGGCATGAACGGTTTGCTTTTCTTAACAGCCAGGAGTGAGGAGGGCTGGGGAAGGGGCTCCTGCGCCACCACACACGGGATTAGACCTAAAGATCACATAAGCTACAGTTTGAAGTCACGTTTTTCTGTTTAGGCTGCCCTAACTGATCACCTTCAGCCGGCCTAATGCTGCGGTAAGAGTGGAAGTTCCGTGTGTTAAAGAGAAAGGAAAGGGACGCCAGTGGCACTGGTCCCGGGGTCTCCCAGTGGCTCCCCCAGGGCGGGTCTGAGGTGGGGTCCTTCCCACTGAAGTTGCACCAGAAGCCCTGGAGGTGGCAGCATCAGGAGCGAGTCACTGTGAAACAGGATCCCATTAGCTAGTTCAGTCAGGGAACTTGTTTGGTTTGGCTTTTGTTTTAAAAGATGCAGCTTCAACCCAGTCCCTCTCCTGACTTGGAGAGTACCTGAGAGCTGGTTCTGCTGAACCTCGCTCCACTGTACCCCTCCCCCAGTCACCCCAGGGACAGCCTTTTCCCAAAGCCCTGCCCCAGAACCATTTAAAATCTTTGTGGAGGGGAGGCCTTGGTACAAATTAGTCATTTGGGATCCAAAGTTTAAAAGATAATGTGAGTAGAACACACCAATTCCAGAGTCTTTGCAGGGGCCTGATCCTGAGAGGAGAGAAGGGCAGAATCCAGAGAATGGGGATTGGTCTTAGACCAGAAAGAGCGTGGCGCACCTGAAACTCATTTACCCTCACCACTCGGACGAACGGACAGTGCACATCCGAGGACAGCAATGGGGGGGCAGGAAGCGGGGATCAGGCAGGGGGCTCAGAGGGTTTTAGAGGATTTCAAACAGGTGGAACCCAGCCATCCCTATTCCCAAGGGCCACTTACGACTCCAGGGGTGGTTACAGGATTAACTACCAGTTCATTTTCAAAATGCTGCTTTGAACTCAGAGGGTTGATACATTTAATTTGTAATTTTTTGTAAAACTTTTTACAAGATAGTAAAGTATTTCACCAGAATACCAGTTTCAATCCGTCCATGGTCTGATTTTTATATAATTTAGTGGTGCTTTAGAAACTTTGTTTTTGTTGTTTCTGGGCTAAACAGCTCAATCCTTTTTCGCCTGTATCTACCTAAGACCAATGTGAACCTTTGTATTTTTGCTCCTAATTTTGGACTCAGTGAAAGTGTACTGTTTACATGTACAGATGCCCCTGTCCCTGTGTGTTCTGCAAGACTCGCTCTTGAGGAGGAAGGTGCACCTCACTAAGCTCATCTGCTTAGCAAAGCCACAAAACAAAAACCTCTCACTTTTTACCTGTTTCCACCTAAAAACAAAAACAAAAAAACCTACAACACACAGAACTTGGATTTACTGAAAAACACTTCTCTAAGCTCAGAAAAATCTCTGTGCAAGTAGATGGCCCGCGTGCATCTGTATGTGGTCCATTTAGAAGCAGGGTCGGGACAGAGACCTCCCACGCCATTGGTGGGTGACTGCACGGGCAGGTGAGCAGTGAAGCAGGACTTGGCTGCACAGTGGTGAGTGGAGATAGTTCTCCCAGCAGCCTGGGTTGGGCAGGTTGTCCTCAGTCCTCTGGCATCACTCAGACAGGTTCTGGGAGAGCTCGAGTTCCCGACCTGGGCAAGACTTTAAGAGTCTCCAGTGCAGATGGGATGAGCATGTCTTCAAGGTTCCCCTGGAGGCATCACCTCTGGCGAGGGGCAGAGGGCTCCAGACGATAAGCATATGGCACTTAAGGCAAACAGTGGATGGCACCAACTTTTAAAGGTGACTCTTTATTAATCAGTGGCTTCACCTCTAAATTATATTTTTACAGATATGCACCTATGCAACTTAATGTGGCTCTTCTAAGCAGGTGAGAACTTCCTCTTCAATGCTCTATAAAAATTCTTTGTGTTCTGTATAGTGAGTTTTTCCAGTAAATGTGGCTCAATATTTTAATTCTTAGACTGTGTCTTCTCTACGTGATGCAACTAAATTCTGTTTTGTTTGTGGAATGACTAGCACAGGCCAACTCCCTCTCCCCTCACTTAACAAAAGACCAATGAGCTGTTAATCGAGCTGTTTCTCCATGGTATTACTTGCTAAATGCACTGATTTCATAAGTATGTGGAATCCTTTTTCTTTTGAATCTGTATATCATATATGAGACTGAATCTACTTAATAAACACTGAATAACAAACGGAATGTGTTCTTTCCACTTGTCCTCTCAACAGCCACACTGGCAGCTAGACCTATTCCAAACCTAGCTGGGCACTGAAACACCTTTCCAATAGTAGATTCCACCTTTGCCGGGCCCGGCAGCGAGCACACGGAAGGTCCTTGGTAAATGTGTCATGTCCTTCGGCACCTAGCCCGCTAGAAAGGGACGGAAATGCATCTTCCCTGGTGCTCGCCAAGCACCTGTGGGCACCATGTTGAAACCTCACCGTGACCTTCCCAGAGAGGTGCCCTTGCCTCCACTTGCAGATGAGTCAGCAGGGGTGCACTGGGGGCCTACCTCACCTAAATTCAGCCAGTGGCCAAGCCAAGTCTTAACTGTTTGCCTGTAAAGCGTGCCCATCCCACTCCCCAGTATGCAGCTCTTCAACCATCAGAAACCAAAGCTAGGGAAACAGGAAATGCCATCCCTGGTCCTGAACCTTCACTACTTGACATTCTACTCGACCCCAAACCCCAGATCCTGCTTTGAAGGGAACAAAAAGGCTGCTTTTTCCAAAGACGTTTACTTGTACACTTACTTTTTTCATCCTATACATTATCATTTAGGTTAAACTTTAAAGGAAAACGTATAGGAATATGGGTAGGAACAAAACTGGTTGTCATGAGTTTAAAAACAAATTTGACCAAGTTAACTGCATAAACATGTTTTACTGTTAACATTGTGCCTGTCGCACAATATGGAAGTTGTTTTCAAAACATTTATTTTTCGTTATGGCAGAATCATCTTTTTAAAATAGAAATTCTGTGCAACTGCCAAATACATAAAATAAAAAGAGAGGAGCCAATCGTTTGAACACACCGGGAGTGCACTTTGGGGCTAAGATTCAGACCAATAGTAGTAAGAACAGCCGAAGTAGGGAACCTCTCAGCACCCTATCTTTCCACATGCACGTGGGGACCATGGGCAGCAAATCCTCAGTACTACCATGAAAAGGTCTGTCCTACTGAATCCACCACTGCTGAGAATCACCAAGGGACCACACACCCCAACAACCAGGACAACATCTACAGAATCCAGACCAGCCACACACAACCACGCTGGTCAACCGGGACAGCACTTACCTCGGATGAAGCCACAGCTCCGCGGGAGCACTGGTATCCTGGGACCGGAGAAGGTGCTGGAGGACAGAAGGGCACTGCTGGATCCCCGGCTGGCTGCTTTAATGGAGCGCCCCACCACGGCTGTCAACAATGTCCAGGACATCAAACGGGAATGTCCCTTAGAGCAGGGAAAGCAGACACAGTGACCAAACAGGGACCCTCACTCCACTCTGTGGACAGGGAAGACATGCATGCACTATAGGGAAGGAAACCTGGAGCAACACTGTGGTTCACCTAACACACTGACCTCTTGCTGGCCATTTGCCCAAATTCTTATACAAAAGAAAGGAACTCAGGTTTGAGAGTACAAAACTGGTGTGGTTGCAAACGTCACAAAGGTTGGTAAACTGAGGAAACCAGTGTACACAACAGAAGTGGCAATGATTTTATTTTCAATTCTGACCTTTTAGAGATCTGAATTTAGATTGTGTTTCATGACGTCGTACAGTAAATAAATTCCAGTTCCCAGAAATGCTAGCTAAATCCTATCATACATAAATATACCATCACAGCCCAAACTAGTTGAAGGGAACATCTTCAAGTCCTGGTTTCTGGCTCACTTCAAGAAATATTAAAAACAAAGATCTTTCATTTGTAGAGCCCAGATACATGGAGACAATTATAATGGGACCTCACTTAAAGCAGCATAACAGACCTTGACAAGTAAAAAAAATTTAAGTACTTTAAAATGTACCACGGAAGGTTAGTAGTTACCGAAACTTAAGTCATCTCTCCCCTCCTTGATCTTTTGAATAAACTCAGATTAAGTTTATCATCAGTCAGAGGCTCTTAAATGAGAGGCTCCAGATGCCTAAGGAGCTCTTGCACCCTGAAACAGTGCACACAACTTACAGCTCAGTGTGAACGCGCATTCCTGGAGAGAGGGCCCAGACCTTCCATCAGGCTTCCATCGTGTTCCCAGAAAGACCAAGAACCACTGCACTGGCAGCTTTTTGTTACTCTCCTTTAAAAAAAAAAAATTTTTTTTATTGATTTCAGAGAGGAAAAGAGGAGATAAATCAATGAAGAGAATCATTGATCTGCTGCCTCCTGCACACCTCCTATTGGGGATAGAGCCTGAAACCCAGGCCAGGAATCCAATCATGACTTGGTTCATGGGTCGATGCTTAACCACTGAACCACAAAGGCCTGGCTCTCCTTTTCCTTATACAGCTTCTGTCTACACCTTTTGGTAGAGATGTTCATTCCAGGCTTTCAAATTGATCCATAGAGCCCTAGCTGGTTTGGCTCAGTGGATAGAGCGTCAACCTGCGGACTAAACGGTCCCGGGTTCAATTCCGGTCAAGGGCACATGCCCAGGTTGTGGGCTCGATCCTCAGTTGGGGGTGTGCTGGAGGCAGCCGATCAATGATTCTCTCTCATCAGTGATGTCTCTCTTCCTCTCTGAAATCAATAAAAATACATTAAAAAAATAAAATCAACAAATTGATCCATAGAGATGAGAGGAAGCATTAGGCACTATCAAGGTTTGGTTTCAACTACTAACCAGTTAACTGCCACATGTCCAAATCAAAAACCATCCCCACACGCCACGGTATTTTGAATTTAATTGCATCTATAAACACTAATGGCGTACAAAGTGTTAATCTCTAAGGTCATAAAGCCCACCTTGTCACTTTAAACGGTGCCCATACAGGAGGGCAACACAGCCTGTGCCTCCTCCTCTCAGGGCACAGGGCAGGCAGATGCTTGGCCCCTAAAGCCCCTGATGCAGGAGGGCTACTCTATGAAGCATGCACACCCCTCAGGGTCTTTCTGGGGTCTTTCTCAAGAGCAGGTTGGATATAAAGCTAATGACACCTCAAAAAGGCCACTGAGGTTTTCATATTCTGAAACATCAGGTTTCCTTGTCCTCTGAAGAAAACGTCTCCACTACCAAGCACTCCATCTCTAAGCACTGTGCTGTGTATTCAACGATAGCACGAGGCCACGAGCCAGATTTCCGCTCACAGGCCCGCACCTCCACAGCTCCCCTCCGGGGTGAGGGTCAAGCAAGAGCCATACAGATCCTATTATAAATTCATGGAGTGATTGCCTGGCTTGGTGCATTTAACAGTCTGGAGTACTTACTATGTGCCAGGCCCTAGTAACTTTATGAAGTAGGAGCTACCATCCCCATTCAGATGGAAAAGTTGGCAGAGGCTGAGTAACTGGCAATCACAGTGTGGGCAGGCAGCAGGGCCTGTACTCTAATCCACCGCACTATTCTGCCTCGCTAATGAGATGCAACTCTGGACCCTAATGCATTCTAAACTCCTGCAGACTACATGCACAGATCCTATGACATGAAGGTACACGGACACATCTTCACCACCAGGTGGCTGCCCATGGAGCCCAACCGTAACTTCTCCAACTGCACCTGCAGCACCACAAAGTTGCAGCTTGAACTGGCCCCAAGGGATCCCACCACACAGTCTATTTTCTCCAACTCATAGGAAACAAGTCAACGGATCCTTCTTTTAGTTCATCTTTACTTCTCATCATGTTGGGTTTTTACGGTTTTTTTTTACTCTTGGCATATTTAGATACTAAGATAGATCCTACGAAGCACAAAATCACGTATTTAAGTAGTCCAGTAGGTGTGAGGACTGAAGTCAACCCCTGCAGGCTGGAAGCCACTTAGCCTCGGTCTGCAGGCAGCACCTCCCTCACTGCTGCCTGCTGCTGCGCAGATGCCCGTGTTTATGGCTTTTCAAGGTCAGAACTGTTCACCCTCCCACAGATCATCAGCCATTAGGAAGCTCTCAAGCAATCTCAGGCTCAGTGAGGCAGTGGAGATGAGCATCCTCACCACTTGCATTAATTTCCGCTTCCAGTGCACAGTGGGAAAGTTTGCCAAGTCACGCGGTCTAGAGTGAAATTGACAAGTTATACCTCTAAGTCTCATCTCACAAAGGAGCACCTTACACCACATGAGCTCGAGCCGAGGGGAGGGAGCTGGCATTTGCTTCTACACTCCAGCTGAACCTTCCTTCCCACTGGGAGGGGGTGGGGAGCCACAGAAGATGACGGAGACCAAGTGCAGGTTGTACAGGTTTATTTTTCCAAAACCACAGGAGACATACAAGAGCAGCGCTTTCTCTGGGCAGCCCCATGGACTAGACCCTAGAGTGGCCTCAAAGGTCACAACAGAAGGAAGAAGAGGATCAAACACACTTGGGCCTCTGCTCCCTGTCTTTGGTAAACAGACTCTTAAAGTTGACAACTTGGACTTGGCCAATACTGCATTGAAATCACCACATCACTGCCAACTTCTCACTCATGCTTCAGATGACAAAAATGCCACACTGGATGAAATGGGAAAGGGAAGACCTCTCAGATGAAATGAGATCTGCTGAAGTCATACCAATTTTATACTTCACACATAAGCACTCACACAAGGAGACTGGAGTTAAACAAGGACTCAACTCTGCAACAAGTTGAGGTACAAGAAATAAGGCAGGAAGCAGGGTGAGGAAAGACAACTATGGAGACATCTATTTGTTAGAAATGTGTTGGGAGAGAGGCAGGCAGCAGGCCTGCCTGTTTCTTCCCCAACCTGCTGTCAAAAGGAGCTCTATGGCCCCAGGAGAACATGGTCCCAGGTATTGCTGACAGGCAGTGGCCCTGGAGCTAGGTCTAGAAGGCCCACCTGAGGCTGCCCAGGGCACTCACCCTCGAGTTCAGAAGCACTTAACACTGGTGGTGGTGATTTGTCACATATGGCAGTGAGCAGCCAGTGAAGGTTGGAGAAGAGATGTGAGGAGCAAGATGCATTTGCTCAGCAGTGGACAGGCAGGCTGACTCTGGCTCTGCAGGCTGCAGCAGGTCCCCTGGGTGCACCATGACAGGGCACCGGGCCAACCTGGCAGATCACAAGTTAATCACTCAAGTTGGGCAGCACAGCATGCAGTGGCTCTGACACAGGTGGAGAGAAGTCTATTACACCACTTTAATGCGATGATGCCCAAAACGTGAAGTAAGGGAGAGACGTTCGTGTTGTCTATATAATACATCCATTTACAGAATCGGCCAGTACTGTGTACAACATATAAATACATGATAAAACATTAGAGGTGCATAGAGCATACTTACAGAAGCCAAAAAATTCACTTTATACATCCAAGGATAGAGTTAAAAATATAAAAATAAGAAACACACACTGCTTTGAAATGTAAAATGATTTTTCAGATACATAGGTGTGTGGAGATGCCCGCTCCCATGAGTCCAAAGTGACCGGGAAGGTGTCAGGCAGAGGCATTCACCTGCCAAACATCTGGACATGTGACTGACAAGGTCTACAGGTGGGATTTTCAGATCGATGACCTTATGCTCAACCCAATTGTCCAAGCAGGTCTATTCAAAGGTTCCAAAAGCTCCTGTGGGCCAGTGGGTTGTAATGAGTCAGCAAAGTCCCATATTTGCTTCAGCAACAGAACCAAAGGTTAAATCCATCAACTGGCATCAGAATGAACTGTGACCCTGAGGTCAGCAGGTACTTGAGCCCCCTGGTGGGCACTGCTGGGAGTTACCTTAACCCTGTGCTGGTTCTTCCCCAACCATCACCTCCCCATAATAGTAGGAGGAAAGGTGGCAGGGAGGGGGCGGCGGAAGACTGACATTTCTACTTAGTTCAGGTAGGTTAGTTCCCTGTGTGGAGAACAACCTTCTTTCTTCAATTTCAGGTCCCTCTGGGTGTCAGGCAGGCTCCCTACACCTCACCAGGCTCTGTCTACATGAGGGCTCAGCTGGCCAGTTGCAGCCCAACAAGTTGCCCTGTGGAAAGCCCCTCCAGCAAGACAGGAAGGTTGCTAAGTGACAGAGGCCTTTAGCACTATAAATGTTAGGGAGAGGCAAGAGTGCTTCTGCCTGAAGAGACAGTCTACTGTATCAATGATATTCTGTATACAGACTTAAGATCAATCATTATCAAAATACACACACTAAATATACAACTTTTCCCATGGCCATAATTTATTATCTTACCACAAGGCACAATACACAGAGCTTGGAGGGTCCAATACAGTCGTCATGACAGAACGCACCACAGCCCTGGCACATGATCATGGCTTTCAGGCTGCACGCACACTGGAGCGAGATGCTTTCCACTGTGCTGCTGTCGGTGAACATTTGCAAGGAAAGTGATGCACTGTGGTTCGCACCAAAGTTTGCTTTGTGGCTCAGCTGCACCACACTTCCAGCAAGGCCTTTGGGAAAGGCTGGGGAGCTGGAGGAATAATTAAAGCTGGTGGAACTTAGCTGGAGTTTAGAAAGCTTCCCATAAAATGCCTGTTTAATGTTGAGTTGGGAGGGGATAGAAGAAGGCTCGAGAGGTTGACTGAGACCTTTCCCAGGCTCTCGAGGCAATTTCCAGAAGGGCAGGTCAAGGACAAAGGGCATCGCTTGCAAGTGATCCACCAGATCCCGAGGACCGGGTCCAGCTTCATTTCTGTTTTCTGCATTTGCCTTGAGAGGCGCCCCCACAAAAGTCTTTTCACTCTTGATGCTGCCAACAGAGGCAGGTGGTGTCTTTGGAGCCCAGTCTTCCCTGGCAGTCTGTACCCCACCAGACACAGAGTTTTTACTTGGCCCCAACTTCCTACTGGGAAAACCAGGAGGGGCATCAGCGGGCAGCGGGACTGGCGCCATAGGCTTGGGGCACTGAAGGGTTGCAGCCAGGTTTCTAGAGCCAAAGAGCTTCTTCCCTTGACCTCCAGCACTGTTCTGATCACCCCGGGCCCGGCCTGTCTGATCAGGACCCATGGAGATCACATTTGGAGATGAGAAACAAGGGGCTCTCGAGGTAGTGAGATTTCCTGGACTTTTGCCTGGGGCAGCATTTGAATTACTGCACTGGGGCAGATCTCGGCCTTTCTTCTGTTCTTCACAACTAAAGGAAGAGAACTGCTCTTTGGAATCCACTTCTATTTTCCCAGAGGCAGCTGTCGGATTGGTCACTGGATATAGGGAATCTAAACTTGGGA